GTACCTCCCAGTCTCATTTGATTAATAGGAAACACCTGTGGTTTCTCAGCAGGCAAAACGGTAAAGCGAAAACTAATTAATGGCACGTGTGTTGCGCAACACGGCGCATGCTCCAGGCGGCTCCGGACACCTACAATACAAAGAGAGTGAGGAGGCATTCTAGAAGTTACCACATTTCTGTTTCTCTTCCAGAAGCCCCAACATATGTCAGAATAAGCAGTCAAAATTTTTCATCTTTCCTGGAAACAGATTAAATTATTATGTGTGGCAGTTATAAGCTCTTCGCCAAACCTCTGATTCTCCTTCCTATGTGTCCAGACTACCTGTTCATGAGACTAGGTTTTTTTTTTCCTTAAAGATTTATTTACTTATGCATACAAGAACTGGGTTATAGGCCAGAGGTGTGGAGGGTGAGAGGATTCACCAGTGACAGACTGGGGAACTGAACAGGCAGACTGACTGAAATACACTGCTGAGGGGAGCAGGAGAGTCAGGAGAAGCCTGCTGTGCCATGTGGCTACGTAGCTCCCAGGCTGGCTGGGGATGGAACTCGTGCTGCAGAGGCTGCAGTTAGCTTCACATTGCTGTGCTTAACTTCTTGTGCCACAAGGGAGGCCCTGAGACTAGCTCTTATTGATTATATGTGGGCAAAGGTGATAGGTGTCAGCTCTTGGTAAGACTTTTAAGTAGCAGGTGTGCCTCTTCCACATTCTCCTTTCTGCCTGCAGGATATAATGGTAAAGAGGCCCAGCAGATGGAGGGACCATAAATGGAAGATGAAGCTCTTTGATACCATATGTGAAAGAAAATTGACCACCAACCACAAATACCAACAAATACATGAACAAAACCTCCATTGTGTTTGAACATTATGCATTTTGGGATCAGTTCGGTACTGGAGTCAGGCCTACACGAACTAATGCACCCAATATTTTATGTTTTAGAGCATAAAATCACTTGAACATCAGAATTATGGGCCTTCATCCTGGAAAATATGAAAGGGACTAGCAGAACAGTAAAATAAAAAGGAAGGAATAATAGCTACAAATATGCATGTGAACTATGTGCCCAGTCCCACGTTAAATGCATTGCACATACTGTCTCATTTAATTTCATTTACTCACACAACTTTTAGAAATGGTATTATTATTATTATTATTATTAGGCCCATTACTCGTATTTGGGAAATGAGGCAGGAGTACTCTGCAAGTACTCGGGAAGCCATGACTCAAAATCTAGGCACTTTGGACAATTTTATCACAACACCTTATAAAATAAGCTTTGTTATCCCTATTTTAAAAATGAGTAAGCTAAGGTATAAAGATGAATAGAAGATGAGTAAGATGAGATAAATGATCTGTTCAAGCTCACACAAGTGGAAAGATTCAGACCCAGGTCTGTGTGGCAGAACATGGAGGGGAGAGGTCACTCAGATAGAGTGTCCCTCCATTCCCCCGCCTCAGAGGCCTTGAGGTTGCTCTGTTAGCTCTGAAAACATAGGACTACTGCAGTCTTCATTAGTTGTCAGTTTTGAAGACATTGCAATTTTTGACAAATAGTTAACTGGCTTCCCCCAATATGTCACTGATGAAAGATAACAGTGGGGAGCTACTTCCAAGATAGCGGGTGGGGCTCGTAGCCAACTTGATGGTGGAGGGTGGAGCTTTTAAAACTCCACCCCCTGAGCAGGGGCTCATGGGAAGTAGGACAGAGCTGAACTTTTGGACAGTAAAGCTTCTGGGGTATTGGGGACTTTTTAACTTCAATGGCCCACCCTTTTATTGCATCCCCAAGGACTGACCCCTCAAGGACTTGTTGGCATGTCAAGGAATCTCTTTAGACCCATCCCTGTCCCTTCTCACTCCTGACTTAATCTGGAGCGTTATTAGCATATCTGGCCTATATATTTAGGGGAATGGTCAGTCCTGGAAGCTCACAGTGGGACAAGTCCAAGGTCATTTTGGGACCAAAGACTCATAGTCCCATGGTCAACTATACAATCTGATATTTGTTGTTGAGAAAAAGCACAGAAGCCTGTGAAGGAGCTGGAGCTCCTCAGCAGTACAGAGTCACCTGGGTCACAGGGGAGACTGCAGAGAAAAAGCAGGCTATCTTGGTAACCAGGGGGGTGAGCCCATCATGCTCTCAGTTTCATAGGAAAGGGCTACCACAGCATGGTCTTGATGCTCCCAATGCCTTGGGAAATGCAGGAAGAGGGGTTCCCGGACCATGTTTTTCCACAGGGAGAATCAGGACACTCCACGGGGGCATGGGAAGGGCACATTTCTTCTTCCAGACCTGCTACAGATGCTGGTCTGTTAAGGATTTTCTAAATATCTGCCTAATCATGTCACCCTCTTCTGCCTTAGACTCGGGACCAAACTTATTGCTGTATCCTACAGGATCCTATGGGGCCCTGTCTGTCCCTGTAATCTCAATTCATTCCAATGTGCCATATCGCCACACTCTCTAGGGATCTTAAAGTGTGATGACGGTATAGCCTATAAACTCCATCATGACAAAATTCCTGTATTTTCACTCACCATTTTATACCAGCACTTAGTTTATTTGCCTGATGTAGATGGCACTTAATCAGTACTAGCGGGTGGGTAGATGATTGGTTGAATGAATGACTGAAGAGCCAATATTTTTGCAAAAAAAAGTTATGTGGGTGCTGGAGCAAATCACTTCTGTGATTGTAGTCTGAGTCTTTGTCTTCCTCAGAATTGGGATGGCATAGAGATACAGGCCCCAATGTAAAAGGTTAATGGCAACAAAAGCTTCCATCAAACCTTACCAAAAGACAAAGTAACAAAAGCATGTTTCACTGATTCAAATACTTTTAGAAAGGGGTGGGATCTAAGTCAACAAATGAATGTAAGAAATGAACTCTAATTGATCATGTAGCCTTAAAATGACGTGGAGGAACATTACCAATTTGATTTTTCAGTTCTGCCCCTTTGCAGTGATGGTACAACCAGGATCAGGAAAAGAGTAAGAGTCCTAAGGGACATACATTTCCCTGCTGCCAACAGGATGCCAGGAAATCCAATAAATTTACAGAGGTTTTGTGAGTCAGCTCATTGCCAGGAAACATCAGTTTACAACCCTCCATAGCTTATTACAACCCTCCAAGCTTATTTCATTGCTGATATGACTAGATACCTGGGAGTTTTTGTGTTGTGTTGGTTTTTTCTCTATGACCATAGTTTCACTCAGAATGGACTCAGAACATGGCATAATATGAAGGGCACAGAAACCAGGTGAGTCAGTTGATGAGGATTCACTATGCGTAATCCATGGTACAATTAATGTGAATAAGAAGCATATGACAGACAATAAAGGTGAGAAAATTGTCACTGGATTTAATGAGGTGGAGATAAGGACTTAGCAGCACATGTGAATTGAGCTCATATTGGTTACAAGAACCGTGACTTAACTGGTGCTGGTAGATTAACCAGTGGACTCATTGTTTAAGCCAACTCATGCAAAACCACATGTAATTACCATCTCCTAATGGTAAAATTTAAGGACTGATATTTAAAGAGTGATATTTATAAAGAGACAAGTTTTTGCTGTTTTTTCCAAATGTGCTATTGGTGTCATGTTGTTTGGCTTTAGTTTGGAATCTGCCCCCAACAGATGAACACTGTTACTTAAAAGACCTGCAGTGCAAGTCCTGGCCTGAGTGATATAGGATGGAAGATTTAACACAGATTAAATGGGGTTTGCTCTTGATTAATTTCACTTTCTACACAGGAGAAAGTGCAGGGAATGTAATTGCAACATAGAATTATGGAACATCTACTATCTTATGTTCCTACTATCTCCTACGTTTCTTACTAAGAAACTCTACTATTTGAAAAAGAATTTATTTTGCATTTTCCCATTTTTTTAGAGTCAATATCAATTTTCCAAAGTTTTGAAGGTTAACTATTGGAAAACATGAAGGAAGTTTATTTGGGGGGCAAACAATAGAATGAGAGTGTGCCAGTAAAACAATTTTAAAAATTAAAAATGAATCAACACATTGGAAATCAAAGAGGGAATTGTTTGAAATGACATAGCAACCTTTTGATGTCAAATTTTGTCTACTGTGACAGAGGAGACCCTGGGACTCCCACCTTATTAAAAAGACTTGGTTGCTACTGACACAGAAACAAAATGGAATGCAGAGGGGAGTGGATTCCAGTAACAGACTCAGGGCCTAGTGATCCTCAGGATCAGTGTTTCTCTCTCTGGATGCTCAGGAGAACCACTGGAGGGACTTTTAAATGCCAGCACTCAAGCTCTACCTCTTAAGACTAAGATTTGATTATCATGAGACTTGAGTATCATGCAATAGCTCCCCAGTGATTCCACTGTGAGCCTCCTGAAAGACTCAGCCATGGGCTGAGAAGAGGTGAGGAAGATAGAACAAGAGAACATGTAGCTGGGCATACATTCACTCAGTTCAGAAACTAACGAGAACAATAAATGTCTGTAACCATTAAATTCCTCACCGAGCAATTTATGTAATGTTTAGTGTTCCTGAAACTAATATACCATTTTTACACCTTTGGATGATGTCTCTAAATAATGAATGCAGGCCTCCCTGGTGGTGCAGGCAGTTGAGCGCAGCACTGTGAAGCTGTCTGCAGCCTCTGCAGCATGGGTTCGATCCCAGCCGGCCACGGAGATACCCACATGGCACAGCAGACCTCTCCTGTCTTGCCCACTGCTCCCATCAGCAGTGTATTTCAGTCAAGGCTGCCTGTTCTGTTCCCCACTCTGTCTCTGGTGAATCCTCTCACCCTCCCACACATCTGGCCTGTACCCTGGTTCTTGTATGCATGAATAACTAAATCTTTAAAAAAATAAATAATGGATGCTACTGTAACTACTAAGCTTTTATTAAGGAATTAAATCCATTCCATAATAGTCATACTTTCTGTCATCTACAGTCTCTTCCCATTGCCCTAGTGAATTGAGAGATGACTGGCACAGTCATGTTTACTTACTTTAATTCCTTGCAATCCATCTCCAGGGGGGCCTGGGGGACCAGGCAGTCCTTTCTGCCCCATATCACCCTGTTGGAAGATTAAAAGAAATGAAACAGAAGCTTGAGGAAGAAACAATGTAGTACTGCTCTCAGCTTTATTTTTACTTTGTCATGTTGCCCACAAGCTATATAATATTTTATAAAAAGCAATGCTTTTCCAAAATTTTAATTTTAATTTCAATACTCCCTTGAAAAATCCTACATATGATCTGAATATAAAGAAAGAGGTAAGGCAGAGGTGCTTGGCTTCATGCAAGTATTGGCTTTGGAGACTTATCTTCTTATGCATCTCTAACTGCCCTCTGACCAACCCTTAAAACATCAGAGGTGTGAAGACCACTTACACATAATTCTTTGTAACCTTAAATGGTGCTCCATTTTAATATGGAGTTTAGCAAAAGAGTCAATGAAAATTGATGTGACTGTGTTTTGAGATTTCAAGAAGTGTAAGTGAAGTAAGTGAAGTTGTAAGTACATCCTTCCCCAATATATATTCTTTACATCATAAGCTGATCCACTTTTTTTGAGAAAAGACTTCTGCATTGAGTTAAGATTGAAAAATGTTCTATGCCACAGTATACGCCTCTCCTGGGAGATCCCTTGGGCACATAAGTATATTAAAGTCTCTAAAAAGTCCCACAATAGAGAGATTAGTTTAGCTTTTCTCAAATTAGTTCATCCCAGAAGTTCCCAAACTAACATTTCATGCAATTAGCCTTTAGAAATGCTAGATTAATTTTTAGATTAATTTCTAGATTAATAGGTTAGTCTTTTACATTCCAATATGGAAAAAAAATCTTTATATTTTCTGATTGAAAGAGGATGACATGAGCATTGAAAAAAAGTTTAAACAGAAATAAAAACAATAAAGAAGAAAAAAATAGACCCCTTTTACTATCACAGTTATGGCAACTACTAATATCCTCATCCATACAAACTGATCTGTAATTTAAGTAAGAAATTGTCTTCTGCTGAAATGTGAATGAGTGGGGAAAGACAAAAACAAAGGCTAAACTGAGAACCTTGGTAATTCTGGGAACCTCAGCAAAATCTTGACTCAAAATTTTCCTCTTCCCTCTTGGATAGTGAGATTCTAATTAATTTCTCTGCCTTCTGAGTGTAAATACAAGTATTTGAAAACTGAATTTGTGGTGGGTGGCTTATTGAAACTTGTTTTGCCTATGAACCTGCCTGATGCTTCACCTTTTTGAGAAAATCAAAGAACTATTTGTTAAGCAAGTGAATAAACAATTAAAACAGGGTTTTTCAGCTTCAGTATTATTGGCATTTTGAGCTGGAGAAATTTTTGTACTGGGGTGCAGTCTTGTGCATTGTTGGGTGTTCAACAGCACCTCTATTTTCTCTACCCACTAGAGGCTACTATCCTCCTCTCCAGTGTTGACACCTTCACGTTTTCTCCTCCTTGCATTGTCAGATGTCCCCTTCTGGGGCAGAGAGGGAAGGACAAAATCTCCCTCATTGAGAATTACTGGATTAAAAGAATGAAAGGAAGAATAATCACCGAATTGGAGGGGATAAAGCAGAAGAAATTGAAATGAGAGCAAAGGAAAACAATGTTCCCATTACCTTATATGGGGACAGTACATCTAGATCCTTGTACTAAGACCCTGAGAGAAAGTACTGTACACATGTGACACAACAGATGTATGAGCTGGTGTCCTGTTGAGGCCATCGGATCCCCCTCTGGCCAAAGTCAAAGTGTGTGTTTTACGATCGTATGTATCTTAAGGTGTGTATCTTAAGACCTCTAAGGAATCTGGAAATATCTTGAGCACTCTGCAACCACTTTCTTGAGAGACACCAACTTTCTAATTTCTTTAGGGAGGCAAGTGACTTTATAACAAACTTATATGTTCTGTTTTACTGAAAGTCATGTCATGAGAAAAGACTTTTTAACCAGTAATCAAGAAAAACAGAAGTTGATACCCAAATGAACACTGACTATGAAGTCAATGTTCAACTTGTCCTCATTGATAGCACCTAATTGTCATGCAAAGACCAACCTGAGAACTCACCTTTGGTCCCTGGGTTCCTATGCCCCGAGGCCCAGAGGGACCTGGAGGGCCTCTCACACCAGGCTCTCCCTGAAACAATACAGTCAATGAGAAGATGCTGGTTAAACAAATGACCCCAGACTTTCAGTTGTAGAATACATCATATTAGACTATGCTTTCAAAAATACTTTTTAAAAATCTAAAATCCTTGAATTTAATGAAGATTAACTGAGCCTTTTCTTGCAGATCACTTTCCTATCCTTGATACTATGTCTTTATCTCCCTTTGTTTTCATTTTTTTATTGCCCACTGTACAGTCTTCAAGTCAACTGACACAGGTCCATTTCAAAGCAATCAAGTCAATTAACTTTTTGGCAACCTTGTGATATGCTCTCCTCTGGAATTTGAAAAAGTAATTACTGCTACTGTGAATTGAGGAATAAAAAAGAGACACGAAAAAACAACCATTAAAAGATGTAGTCCCAACCAGAACAAGTTGTTATTATTAATTTTTGTACAAAGATTATGCTATGTGGGTTAGAGAGGGCTGTCAGATTCTGCTACGAGGCAGTTGTGACTGTGGGGTAAACTTCACAAAGGCTTTCAGTTCCTCCACAGTATAACAGCTTCATAACAGGCAACTGTCAACAGAAAAGAGGTGAGAACTGAGGTCAAACCTATCTGAAATGTGCATAATGGAAAGAAGCAGAGAATAAAAGCCTCTTCATTAGCCACCTTCTGTATACCCAACACTATGCTAGTCATGTTCATCTGTGTTATTTGAAATAATGTAGTATTCACAACAATCCTGTGTTAGAATGTGACTAATTTACCTAACTCCTCTGAACTTCAGTAACTCCATCAGATTTATACCTAAATTTCATGGGGATACAATAAAGTAAGACAAAGAATGTGAAGGTTCCTCCCACAGTGTCCAGCATGAAGTAGGCATTTGGTAAATGTTAACTCCCACCTCAGCTGCTTTATTAAAGAGGAAACTAAAGTCTACCTGGGGGTGCACAGCTACTAAGAAGCATGGCTAGGAGGATGTGGAGAAATAGGAACTCTCATATGTTGTTAGTACAGACACGTTGGTTTTGCAGTTTTTTGAAAAGTTCAAGATAAATTTACCATATGATCTAGTAATTTAATTCCTAGGTATACACCCCAGGAAAATGAAAACATGTCCACAGAAAGACTTACATATGAATACTCTTGGCAGCATTGTTCATAATGGCCCCAAACTGGAAACACCTTCAATATCCATCAACTGATAAATGGATAGACAAAATGTGCTGGATTCAGCAATAAAAAGGAGCAAACTATGGACAATATGAATGAAGCTCAAAAAAGTTATTTGCAATGAAACAACCCAGATATATGGAGACCACATATTACATGATTCCATCTATATGAAATGTCCAGAAAAGATAATTCTATAGAGACAAAATATTTGTGTATCACTGCTTGGGCCAAGAATAGGAGCTCGGGCAATGATTTCATTATAAATAGGTACAAGGGATTTTATTGGTGAGGTGAGGTGGGGGAGGATGAAAATGTCTTAAAACTAATTTGTGGTGATTGCTATACAACTTTGTAAGTTTGCTAAAAATAATCATTGCATTGGGTGAATTCTCTGATATAAACAATATGCCTCAATAAAATGATAAGGAAAAAATGAAAAGAATCAGAGCCAAGCTTTGAACCTGGGGCGCTCAGTCTCTTTGCCCTATGTTCTGTCTTTTCTGTGTCCTTTCAGGAGCTGAATAACATAGCTTTCCATGCCAAAATTATGGATTATAAGAAATGATTAATTGTTTATCTAGAGAAATGGCCTCTCCTTTAATTAACTTTACTTTCTACTTACAAACCCTAAAATACCTCTGGAAAGAACACAGACAACTTTTAAACTATATTTATTACTGATTTAATTCTCATAATCTCTATTTTCACAATTACATTTTGCTTTACATTTTCACAATTCCCTTTTGCTTCAGGACACGTATGTTTCTAATCTCTTGTTCCTCTCACTTCCTCTTAGTACTTAGCTGCTTTTAAGGCTACAGGTACAATTATCTGTTTAATACCTCTCACCTCTGACTCCCAACTCTGAATGACCCCAAGTTTCTGCCAGCTCAAATGATCACTTCTACCATCAAGATTTCCAAGTGAAAATCTTGAATGTCCTGTATTTTATGCATTTCTATTATCTCCCTTAAATTACCTCTGAAGTACCTTTAGGGCAGTGAGAGTCTCCATGACACTAGGCTGATTCATATATTTCATATATATATATTCATATATTTCATATATTCATATATTTTTACACTGTCCAACAAAACAGAACATAGGTGAACACAGTTAAAAAGATTTTACCTATAATCATTAAATATTTTATCAAAAATAATTCTGTTCTTTGTCCAGACACCCTCAACCTGGGCATCTGGGAGTGCTCAATTTTTTTCCCCTATAAATCAATGGTAATAAAATCCCTAGAACCCCAAAATAATGTGCCAAATTATACCAAAGGAACATTCTGCTTTGGGACATGGGGGAAAGCTGCATTCAAGAGGCAAATGTTAAAACTTTATGCGGCCAGTGCCTGAAATTTGCTTTAGAATAATGCATTGTGGGAGGATGGGGGGGGGGGTTGGGTGGGGAATGAAACCTAGGGAATAAAGATAAAACAAGATTGCCCACATGTTGATCATTGTTGAGGAAGCACAGAGGGCAGTTCTTTTTAGTAGTCCTTCTAATAATTCTCATAACAAGATGTTCTTAATAATATATTTATTAAATCCGCAAACATTGCTCAATAAAAATCTCACCAATGAGGGTAAGGAAAGATTATTGTGATGTTCACTCATAATAAGGAGGAGAATGGAAAATTTAAAGATAAAAAGGTGGTCAAAGGGGAAAGAGCACACAGGTGGATTCAGTATCATTATTAATATAACTGACATGGTGTTTTATGTACCAAATCCCACATAATTTTTTAAGGACTTGAAAAGAAGGCAGAGTGAAACTCTTTTATCAAGTAATATTTCTTTTAACAAAGAATTTGACACTGTTTCATGATATTTTTCTTATTGAATGATTTTAGTTAAAAGCTTCTCAAACAGTATTAATCTCTCTCTCTCTCTCTCACACACACACACACACACAACCAAGAAAGGAAAGCAAGTGGGAAAAGTTGAAATAAGTGTGAATTTACTTTAGGCTTGCATTGTCAAAATTTTGTCGATATTCATTTTCTCCTTTGTATTCTGTCTTACTCTGTTCCCCCAACCCTCTTTTTTTAGCAGTGACTAAAAGTGAAATGCAATATGACAGCTGACCCTGAGATCACCTTATTGTCCTTTCTATCCTTGAACCTTAGCCAATGAGTTCTTTTAAGAATACTCAGGTCATATGTGATACTGCAGGGTTAACCTTGAACAAGTTGGCCATCCTTCTACATGAAGTTATTGACATATAACTGTGTTTTATCTAGCAAACCTATGTTAATATAACCTGATATGATTGTATGACTCTGATGAGACTTTAGCTTAAATTAATCTAGAATTAAATATCCTGAAGATGTTAGAATTGGTCTACAACATAGAATTAGGTTTGTTCCTAGAGGGTTACACACACATACACACACACATGAAATTGTGTGTATATATGTGTGTGTGCCTCTGTCTATCTATTTTTCAATAAATGGGTCTTTCAGGAACTTAATGAGCTGTGTGAATGCATAGACACAGTGTCTCTCCACTACAGTGGGATCTTGAGAATGGGTAGTGTCTTGTTCCATGGGCCTGTGCCAACGCTAAGCCACAACAGGCGAATGCATCAAGAAGATTCACTTTGTCACTGTTAGCACTGGGTCTGCCAATTGAAGCTCCAGTGATCCTAAGAAGTGTGCTTACCATGCTATTTTCAGATGCACAGTTTTACTGACAGTGGATAGAGGACATTCACAAATGAAAGGCATTACAACAGGTTCTTACATAGCTGGACTTAGCCTCCCAAGCAGGATCTGAAGGTTGTTGGAGACTGCAGGGGGAGCTCTCGCATCAGGAGATAATGAATAGACCTGAAAGCATATTCTAGAGTTGCCATTGGCAACTACCATCCATCAATTTCATAACACCACAGCCTAAATCCTATACCTCCCCTCCTACTCCCACTACCTCAAAAAAGAATAAATAACTGTTCAGACTGCCTAAATCTTTTCAGCCCACAAAAGGGGTCTAGATGGGATATGCTCCTTTCATTTTCTTTCTTTCTTTTTAAAAAGATTTATTTATACAGGGCCTCCCCGGTGGCGCAGCGGTTGAGCGCTGGGTTGCGAAGCTGCCCGCGGCCTCTGCGGCGCCGGTTCGATCCCCCGGCTGCTCCCCGGCCACCGGAGGAGGGTCCCACATGGCGCGCAGACCTCTCCTGCCGCCCGCTGCTCCCCTCAGCAGTGTACTTCGGTCCTTCTGCCTGCTCTGCTCCCCGCTCTGGCTCTGGTGAATTCTCTCGCCCTCCCGTGCTTCTGACTGTACTCAATGCTTGTATAAATAAATAAAAAAATCTAAAAAAAAAAAAAAAAAAAAAAAAAAAAGATTTATTTATACAAGAACCAGGGTACAGGCCAGATGTGCGGGAGGGTGAGAGGACTCACCAGAGGCAGAGCGGGGAACAGACCAGGCAGACTAACGAAATACACTGCTGAGGGGAGCAGCGGGCGAGACAGGAGAAGTCGGCCGCGCCATGTGGGACCCTCGCAGGCTGGCCAGGATCGAACAGGCACCGCAGAGGCTGCAGACAGCTTCACAGCGTGGCGCTCAACTGCCTGTGCCACGAGGGGAGGCCCTACTCCTTTCATTTTCATAGGATGTGGCCAAATTTAGGATTATGTACAGTACTTATATGTGTGAACTTCCATGATTCAGTGAAGATTTGACCTAGGCCCTAATCTTGCAGAGTAGTTAATTTCAATCCCTTTAATGTCATGTATAATCTTATGATGGTCCTAGTGATTATTCATTGAACTTTTCACTTTACAAAAGTAAGAAAAAGAGAGCAACACACTATCATACGCATTCATTTTCTATTGG